ACCGCCCCCCCACCAACAGGGCAAACACAGACGAGTCTCCTCGTATCTGTAAACGGTGTTGCGGACCCTCGCCTGGCCTCACGGGGCTACTGAGAAGCACAAAATAATTTCTGGGAGAACTTTTGTAAAATGCAAAGGGCTCAGGTCTTGCGATAGAGCGACGGATCCTGCTGAAAAGCATTCACTTTGGGGTGTACTTTTCAAATCCCTCGAAACCCCAAATGAATTGCCTGCCTCCCTGGTTAATAGCTACCCTAACTCTCACAGACATCCTTATGAAATGGTCACTTCCCTATTAGGTGGCAGGTACATTGTATTTCACATACAGGTAAACAAGCAGGGGACACGAAACTCCTCAGAAGGAAGCAAGGATGGATCCTGACCCAGTCGAGTCCAGCTTGGCTCTGAAGGCTGAGCTTCTAACGAGCATCCTCCTCACATACCGAGGAGCTCAGCCTAACACCCTTTCAGGACATCTTTTTGTTCTCCAGAAGAAAATTAGAGCTGTGTGGGCTGTTCCAGAAACTCGACAAGGACTTCTGACAAGTTGCCAGTTCCATTTAACTGACAACGGTTTGGAAAATTTTCTGAATGTTTAAAGATGAAAACTGTCGCGTGGCACAAAGGAGACCTGATTGGAAGAAGGCGGGGGGGGGGGTGGTCTGTGAAGAGAGGAGCTTCTTTTCGGTATCCATACTTTTGCTTTAGGATTCAGAAGTTAAAACTATAAAATAATTGTGATTTTTTATATAAGTAAAAACATGTAATCAACTGCAACAGTTGCAAAAACTTCAGGGATAAAATGTTGACTATAAAAGACTTTAATGTTGCTAATTCAGCGGAAGCATTCAGATCCCCCTGTTTTGTTAGCAGCAGTGGCTGGTGGGAAGTCTTTCATTCCAAAGGGACTAATGGGATTCTCTCTCACTGGACCTCATTGTAATTTGATTCCATCTCCTGAGAGATGTCTATAATTGGTGTCATATCTTAGAACTGCAAATATTTCACTTTTTAATTTGGCAAAAACTTGTAAAAAACAAACAAACAAATAAAATCTTAACGGGGGCGCCTGGGTGGCTCAGTTAGTTAAGTACCTGCCTTCCATCCAGGTCATGATGCCAGAGTCGGGGGTCCAGACTCTGCTCTGCTCAGTGAGGAGTCTGCTTCTCCCTCTCCCTCCACCTGCCACTCTGCCTACTTGTTCTCTCTTGCTGTCTGTGTCAAATAAATAAAATCTTAAAAAAAAAAAAAAAAACTTAATAGGTTTTGAGCTTTTAAAAAATTGTCAAACCTGGTCAAGGTTAGGGATGGCTGGAACAGTTAGTTCCTGCACTAGGGATCTAGTCTAGGGGATTCTTGATTCTAAGATCACTATGCTACAACCACCTGCACAATAGCCTGTTTTGAGAAGTGTGGCTTTATATCAAATTCTCTTTTCTCAATTTTCTCCCTTGCCAGATGGAGATAAGAAGTACCTGTATTTCCTTGTTCACAAGGTGTTTGAGGACAAAATGAAATGATCGGCATGTTATATTAAGTCTTTCAAATTAAAATAATTTAAAATACTATATATAAATGCAGAGTATTATTGGCAAGCATGGTATTGACTAGGAAACTGGCTTTCCTCGACTTTCAGGGAATTGAATGATATATATGCTCCTTCCTTTGAACTTCTTTGTGCCTAATAGAGAGCTAGGAGCAGAGTTGGGTAAGGCTAGTGAGACACTTATCTTAGGGCACAAAATGTTAAGAAGATGTCAAAAAAGCTCAGGGAACAAGCTAAATAATATTTAATATAATTTTTAAATAAAAATTAATACAAAAGCCCACTATTAACAAAATATCACATTTTTAAAAGATTTTATTTGACAGAGAGAGAAAACACAAGTAGGCAGAGCGGCAGGCAGAGAGAGAGGGAGAAGTAGGCTCTCCACTGAGCAGGGAGCCTGATGCAGGGCTCAATCCCAGGACCCTGGGATCATGACCTGAGCTGAAGGCAGCCACTGAACCGATGGAGCCACCCAGGCACCCCAAAATATCACATTTTTAAAATGATTTGTTTATCTATTTATTTATTTCAGACAGAGAGAGAGAGAGCAGGAGTGAGGAAGAGGGGCAGAGAGAGAAGCTGGCTCCTGGCTGAGCAGGGAGCCCAATGTGGGGCTAGATCCCAGAACCTTGAGTTCATAACCTGAGCCAGAGGCAGATGCTTAACCAACTTAGCCACCCAGGTGTCTCCAAAATATCACATTTTAAAGGTGTGTGTGTGTGTGTGTGTGTGTGTGTGTGTGTGTTTATTTGACAGAGAGAGAGAGAGGACAAGCAGGGAGAGCAGCAGAGGGAGAGAGAGAGAAACAGGCCCTCACTGAGGAGAGAGCCTGATGTGTGGCTTGATCTCAGAACCCTGGGATCATGACCCAAGCTGAAGGCAGACACTTAGCCAACTGAGCCACCCAGGAGCCCCCAAAATATCACATTTTAAAATAAAGACAAGGTCAGGGCACCTGGATGGTTCAGTCAATTGGGCATCCAACCCTTGACTTCGGCTCAGGTCATGATCTTAGGGTTGTGGGATTGAGCCTTTTGTGTCAGGCTCCACACTCAGCAGGGAATCTGCTTGAGGATTCTCTGTCCCTCTCCCTTTGCCCCTCCCCACCTTAAATAAATAAATAAATAAATAAATAAATAACTCTTTTAAAATAAAATAAAAACAAGATCAATAGTGATGCCAGGCAGTCATGCTAGATCCTGAGGCAAAAAGACAAACCAGTATGGGGCGCCTGGGTGGCTCAGTGGGTTAAAGCCTCTGCCTTCCGCTCAGGTCATGATCTCGGGGTCCTGGGATCGAGCCCCACATCGGGCTCTCTGCTCAGTGGGGAGCCTGCTTCCCTCTCTCTCTCTGCCTGTTTCTCTGCCTACTTGTGATCTCTGCCTGTCAAATAAATAAATAAAATCTTAAAAAAAAAAAAAAAGACAAACCAGTAATACTGGATTTCTCAGATTCCCCTTCTATAGGCAGGTAGTTGCCTGAGAAAGTACTGGACAATGTGGATACTGTGTAAAGGCAGCCATGTTTTTAAAGTGAATTTCTAGTTAAATCATCACAATACCGGGACGCCTGGGTAGCTCAGTGGGTTAAGCCTTTGCCTTCGGCTCAAGTCATGATCTTGGAGTCCTGGGATCCAGCCCTGAATCGGGCTCTCTGCTCAGCAGGGAGCCTGCTTCCCCCTCTCTATCTGCCCATCTCTCTGCCTACTTGGGATCTCTCTCTCTGTCAAATAAATAAATAAAATCTTTTTTAAAAAATCATCACAATACCTTTTGTAGTAGCCTACATATGAATTATACATATATACAGATGATCTTTGCACTCACAGGCTATAAAATAACAGAGCTGGCATTTGGGTTTATCTATCTCCAGCCCTGACCAAAAGTGGGAAAACCACTGTCTTGGCCAAAATGGTCCACATTTTGGACCATTTGACTGGCTCAAAGATATCCTGATCAGAGAAAAGAGCATTAAAATCTCCCATAAACCGGGGACGCCTGGGTGGCTCAGTGGGTTAAAGCCTCTGCCTTCGGCTCAGGTCATGATCTCAGGGAATTGGGATCGAGCCCCGCATCGGGCTCTCTGCTCAGCAGGGAACCTGCTTCCTCCTCTCTCTCTCTGCCTGCCTCTCTGCCTACTTGTGATCTGTCAAATAAATAAATAAAATCTTTAAAAAAAAAAAATTTCCCATAAACCTCCAAATCTCTAGTTCTATAGGCAGCCAGGTTATTAAGTTCCAAAAAGCAACAGATTTCTGTGTTTAATATAAGGCTGTGTGATTTGGATCAAGTTGACTCCATTCTCTGAACTTCCTTAATCCTCCCCACTTTTTCTCAAGATTTGTTTATTTATTTTTTTTAACTTTTTTTTTAAAGATTTTATTTATTTATTTGTCAGAAAGAACACCAGAAGGGGAAGCAGTAGACAGAACAGGCAGAGGGAGAAGCAGGCCCCCCACTGAGCAGAGAGCCCAGTGCAGGTCTGGAGCTCAGGACCTTGGGATCACAACCTCAGCCAAAGGCGGACACTTAACGGACTGAGCCACCCAGGTGTCCCAAGATTTGTTTATTTATCTGAGAGAGAGTGTGTGCAAGCAGGAGGAAGGGGCAGAGGGAGACAGAGAGAATCTTACGCGGATTCCCCACCAAGCACAGAGCCCCATATGGAGCTCAACACCAGCTTGATCTCATGACCCTGAGATCATGACCTGAGCCCAAATCAAGAGTTGGACACTTTATCAACTGAGCCACCCAGACACCCCTTTGATCCCTTTTGAATAAACCATCTTTCTTCCTTCAAAATATCTGTTGAACATTTACTTGTGCCTAATACCATGCTAGGCGCTGACCATAGAATAATGAACAAGCATGGGAAGGGATGGATGATGAATGAATCAATAAACAGTTGCAACGTGGCAATTTCAACCAGTCGTTAAGCCTTGAAGAAATTAAAACAAGATGCCCTGCAGGACTGGAGGCAGAGGTGCCCTTTAGATTTAGCGTTCAATGTGATTGGAAGGAGCAGGGGACTGACATGACCTAACACACTGATTCGAGTTATAAAAAGATCTCCTGGACTGCCAGTGAGAGTCCCCTAGAATTGCAGCCATTAGGGCCAGGAAAACAGTGGACTAGGCCAGGGTAGCAGCAGGGGAGACAATAGGCCCTAAGGTTCAATAGGAGCTGAGGCAAAAGGTGCCTTCCCCTTTAAGAATCCTGGCCGCAGGGGCGGGGCAGAAGGCTGCTGGGGCCGGCCCAGGGCTGAGACTGGACGCGGGAAGAGCCGCCCCTAGGATTGCGCGCGCGCCATGCGGGGGCGGGACTTGGGTGAGCCCGCATGGCTGGCTTGGGTCCCGGATGAGGAAGTGCGGGTGGGGGGGAGGTGAGGAGGAAGGAAACCATAGAGACGAAGAGGCGGTGGCGGCTGGAGCGCCCCCGGGCTCTCTCGGCTCGGTAGGCTCAGGTAGCTTTGGCGGCGGCAGGGCTGCGGCTGCAAAGGCCGGCCTGGCGGGGCGAGCGCGGGCCGCGGAGCAGGCCTCAGGGTAAGAGGCCGGGGGCGGGAAGGCTTCGGGCGCAGCCGCCCAGCCTCACTCCATCCCGAGGGGACCCTCCACCGGGCGTTGCAGGCTGAGGGGGAGACCGGGCTCCCCTCTCTCTTTGGGTGTCGACGGGAACGGAGGCTGCTCTGCGGGCGGCGGAACGACCTGGGGAGAGGGAGGAGACCAGGCCCCGCGTCGCGAAGGGGAAACGGCTTCTCCGAGTCATGGCTCCGACGGGGGAGAGATGATTCCTCTCCAACCTCGATACGGCGGGGGACCCCCAACTTCTCGAGGAGGGCGACGCCCCTTGTTGTGGGCGTACGCTCTTCCCCAGCTCCTGTGCGTTTGTCAGCCATGCGACACCCGCTCCAGGGGTGAGAGAGGGCGATTCTAAACTTATTTCAATAGGAGCGGTAGTAGATAACCCCTCAGCAAGACCTTTCCCCCGATTTGGTCAGCGCTCTCGATGAAGAGCGAGATTCAACTTGCCTAAAAGTGTTGGGGAGGGGGTTGTCTTCCTTCCCTGTAAAAGAGAGACTTACCTTCTTTCTTTTTTCACCTTTACCCCTAGATATAGAGAGGAAGACCCTGAATTTACTTTGTGGTATTAGAAGTCAGTCTCTTCCCCCCTCCCCCAATAACGTCCCCAGAGGGAGGCTCTCTTCTCTTTCCGCAAGTCTCTTGGTGTGCAATGAGCTCCTTTCCCTTGCACAGTTAAGAGCATGGCGTCTGGAATGTGGTAGTTTCAAGTCTGTCTCCCATTTCCCATCTTTGTGACCTTGATTAGTTGTTCAACCTTCCTGAGTCTCAATTAGCCCATCTCTAATTTGGGTCCTCTCTGTAGAAAGCATTGTCTTCAGGGCTAAGGGAGAATTCGTGTAAGTGCTTAGGACATAATAAGCTTTTGGTAGACTGTTGCTGTCATTGTTACTAAATTTGCTGCTACTGTTATTGTTGTTTTTAAAGAAAGAAAACTAGTATCTTCCATAGAGACCCAGATTTTTCCATGCATGCCGCCTCCTGTCCCCACCCCCACATTACAGGTGTTCAATCCATCCTTTCTCACTGGAAAGGAGACTTTTCCCCATCCTGGGGTGGAGAAAGAGGCATTTCTACTCCCTTTAGATTCTTCCATGCTCCCCAGATTAACAAAGAGGGCCTCAGAATAATCAAGAGAAAAGACTTTGGTTTTGGAAACAGGTCTGTACTCCAAGAGGGAGGGAGGACAGATACTAAAAGCCAGCTTTCCCTTTGTCCACAGAAGCTATCACTTCCTGACTGGTTAGAGATGTCCTCACCCACTCCCCCTACCTGCTGTAGTGATTTAAAAGCTTCCTGCTATCCACACACCTCCCCCTCCTCAAAGAGGGAGTTCCAACTTCTTTTCTCTTTCTCTCCCAAGGAAAATAAGACTCTACCTTTGAGAGGAGGAGTCTTTCTTGCAGTGTATTTAGAGTGGCACAGATGGTTTCCTTCTCCTCATCTTTTGAAAAAGAAACGAAAATATTTTATGCAGAAAGCCTTTGTCAGAAATCAGGAGCATTTTCGTTGTTTCACTCCCCGTGTGGAGACAGAGGGATCCTTTTTCTGCATGCTAATAAAGGAAGGAAAAGGGAAACAGTGCTTGATGCTTTTGAGATTTCCTGCACACTCCCATGTTGAAGAGCTGGGCCCTGTTTAGTATACAGACTTCCCTACCCTACTTTCTGTTTGTCTAGAGATCTTGTTAAAAGATTCTTCTTTCTCTGTCCCTCAAGAAGAGGCCCCTTCTACGAATGCCCTCATGGAGGCATTGGCTACAGTGTCCGAATCTTGGAAAAGAAAGCCCCTTTCTCAAGGTGAAAGGAGTGTTGTGAACTTCTGAGGGCCTGATCGATATTGTGAGTATTGTCCCTTGACATAAGTGTGGCAGCGCCCAGTGTTAACTGTTCTCGTTTTGAGCAGCCCTTTTGCGTTGGAATTAAAGGGAGGGGAGACCTTCAGACTGGGGATTATTGGGCACATGGTTTTCTGTTCCGCTTTTTTCTTTGTTTGATTCTTTTTTCTACGTTTTACTTACCGCTGTAAACTTTGTACTCCCAGAACTTTTGTTTTAGGGAGTGTTTGAACTACTAAACTGAAAGGGCCACTTTGTCAGTTTTTTTATATTATAAAATGTATTCTAATGAGATTGAGAGCTGCAGTCTTAATCTTTCACTGGTAGTTTATTTTCTTTTTTTCATGTTTTTGTTATTCGGTAGGATAGGAATTAACGTTGCCACTAAGAAAAAACTTTCTGTGTGTAAACCCTGAGTGCCGCAGTGGGGCTTAGTTGGAATTCTATCACCATTATTGATATCTATAGATGTACTTTGAGAAACAAAGAGAAATAGAAAAGTTACCATTTAGAGTCATGGAATTCTTGGGTGGCAGGACCCTTTGAGGTTACTTTGTTTAACTTGTTCATTTTACATATGAAAAACATGGAAGAAAAATTAAGTGACATTCAAGACCATACAGGCAGCAGGATAGGGACCCTGATCTCCCAGTTTGGAGACCAGCAACTAGACTGCTTCCCAGCATTGCTGTTGCAGTTGACATGGAAAGGTTTTGAGATGATTGTTCTCAATTCAAAAGAATTTCTTCCTTTATTGGGATAACTTTACTGCATACTCCCTATAAATATGGGTCTTTTTTCAGGGCTAAGTCCATTCCCTAAGCAGTCTAATTCTCATTTGTGTCATGGTAAAGATGACAAGCCAGTAGCAGCTGTTAAGAGTTTGTAAATCTATTATTTATTTTTTGCTTATACCTCAAACTAGATAATTACCCAGTGTGCTAACCCAGTAGGTTGGTTATAAGTCATTAGTAAGGATTAAGCTATAAATCCCTGCCTTCATTTTATGAGCCTGTGTAACTCACTGTTTTCTCTTCAAGTTTACTTAATGCTTTAATGTAAAAACTTTTATGGTTGAGGCAGAGAGCTGACATTTGGAAAGATACTGATAAAAATAAAGAGATAATACACTTACCAGTTATTCTTTTTTTTTTCTTTTTTTTTTTTTAATTTTTTTTGGGGGGGGTGCCTGGGTGGCTCAGTGGATTTAAAGCCTCTGCCTTCGGCTCAGGTCATGATCCCGGGGTCCTGCCTACTTGTGATCTCTATCAAATAAATAAATAAAATTTTTAAAAAATATATAAAATAATAAAATAAATTTTTTTTAATTTATTTGAGAGAGAGACACAGCAGGGGGAGTTGGAGAGGGAGAAACAGGCTTCCCACGGAGCAGAGAGCCCAATGTGGGACTCAATCCCAGGATCCTGGGATCATGACCTGAGCCGAAGGCAGATGCTAAACAACTGAGCCACCCAGGCATCCCACTTACCAGTTATTCTTTTTTTTTTTTTTTTTTTTTTTTTAATTTCTTTTCAGCGTAACAGTATTCATTGTTTTTGCACCACACCCAGTGCTCCATGCAATACGTGCCCTCCTTAATACTCACCACCTGGTTCCCCCAACCTCCCACACCCCCCCCCCCCCCGCCCCTTCAGAACCCTCAGGTTGTTTTTCAGAGTCCATAGTCTCTCATGGTTCACCTCCACTTCCAATTTCCCTCAACTCCCTTCTCCTCTCCATCTCCCTATGTCCTCCATGTTATTTGTTATGCTCCACAAATAAGTGAAAGCATATACCAGTTATTCTTTATTCCTGTTTGGATCTTGGGAAACAATGTTTAAAATGTTTTAACAGAAGTAATACATACTTACTGTTAAAAAAAAAAAAAGTACAACATATAAATTATTGGTGATCGTCTCACCTAGGGTAATACTGTTAATATTTGGATTATATTCTTTCAGACAGTTTTCTTATGTGTATATTTTACCAAAATAAAAGAGTATTGATGTTTAGTTTGATCAACTATCCCAGGCAGCCTCCTTTGTAGAGTTGTTTCTCTACACCATCATCTTTAATTGTTCCAGTGTATTTAGAAATTTAGTTTTAAAGAATTTGAATGTCTTCTTAAAATTTTGTTCTGTTCCTGCAGTCTGTGGCATTACCAGTAGTTGATGGTGCAAGCTAGTGAGCTGAGAAATAATTTTAATCTGCTACTGTAGGCTTACATCTAAATATTACTTCAACTCTGAGGGTTCCAGCTGAGACACTCCCCTGTCCTGGGTGACTCAGCTGCAGATACTGTTCAGAAACTCGAGGACCCAGGATGGGGCAAGGAGAAAAGGAGAGAAGTCTGTTTTGCTTAAACAGCCAATGTGCTTAGGTGATTTACAGATTGAAAATTCTTAGAATTGTACCTTTTCCAAACAGAAGAGTCAAGAGGTGATAGCTTTGTGGTGTTTGGCTTTTGTAAATTGGAGGTTATTTGGGAGTGACCAAAGCTTTAAAATTCTGTTTTGGCCAATGCCAGTTTATAGCACAGAAGCATGTACAAGAAACATAACAGCTCTGTTTTCCTTGATGAATATTTTGAACCATTCTGTGTGATTATCAATATTGCCTCTTCATGATACAGATCTGTTAGTAAATGTGTATTTGTGTATGATCCTGAGTTTGAAACAAATCGTGAATTAGGACTATGGGGATGGAAAGGAGTGGGATTTGTTAGAGACACCATGGGAGTTGAGATTGTGGACTTCAGGTGCTAATGGAAAAACAGGTGGAAGGTCAGATATAGTTGTGTCTGGGCTTCAAGTCTGAGCTCTAGAATAGTGGGGGTGTTGTTACTCAGAGAGGCAATGGGTTAAAAAATAAGTATGTAAGTTTACTGAGAACATCTTACTTACCTTCATTTCTGGTTGTTGTTTGTATGTAGTGAGACCCAATTATTTATTGGGTTGAGTGGGTTCTATCTTGGAAATGTTAAGTTTGGGAGAGGTACCATCCTTATAAGTGAAACATAGGTCAGGAATTTGAGAAAACATGGGAGCTGGGGATAGGTGTTTTTGTTTTTGTTTTAAATCAGTTTTCAGATATAATTTGCATATCATACAATTCAGCAACGTAAACTGTACAATTTAGTGGTTTTTAGCATAGTCACAGAGTTGTGTAACCATCACCACAATCAATTTTAGAACATTTTTATGCCCCCCAAAAAAACTCTTAGCAGTCACTCCCAGTTTTTCGAGCCCTCACTAAGGAACCGTTAATTCACTTTCCAACTCCACAGATTTGCTGACTCTGCATATTTTATATATATGAGATCTTATATAGTTCTTTTTTATTGGTGTATTTTATTTACTGTAATGTCTTCAAGGTTCATCCATATTGTATCACAAATTAGTATTTACTTCCTTCTCCCAGCCAAGTGATATTCCATTGTATGGGTGTACCACGTTGCTTCTCCATTAATCAGTTGATGGACATATAAGCTGTTTCCACTTTCTGGTTATTGTGAATAGTGCTGCTGTGAACATTTGTGTACTAGTTTTTGTGCATGCATACCTAGGAGTGGAACTTTTGGTTCATGTGGTTACCTGTACTTAAAGGGAGAGTTTTGAGTCATCCACATAGCAGAAAGGCTGCAAAAAAGGTGAGGGCATCAAAAAAGTGAAGCCTGGAATGCAGGGCATATCAAGGATTAAACTTTTGAGAACACTCACACCTTAGTGGCGGTAAGGGAGAGGAGCTCTTGAGCACATGGGGGCGAGAGACCCAGGGAGCTGATCTCCATCAACAAATCTGCTCTTCTACGGGATCCTTTCCTGCACTTACTCTTCTGGTCTGTATGTGGTGTGATAACCAAAAACTGGATTGTGTCTGTTGTTGGGAAAGGAAACTGAGCCAAATGAAAATTGAGCACCTCTTCCCTTTTTTGGCACCCAATAGCAATTCTCCTTGAGCCGTTAACCCCCCCCCCACACACACACACACTCTCTCTCTCTCTTTCTCTCTCTCAGTGGCCTAAAATCTAAAGTGCCTCTAAAAATATCCAGGAGCTAGAGGAGAAAGGGGAAGATTGTAGCTCCAAAAAGGATATGTTTCTGTCAGCACCATTTATTAAAGTGTCTCATTTGATTCTCACCATACTCCTGGACACAACAGTTTATCTCTCCTTGCTGCTTTTTTTGTGTTCTCTGAACTTAATGGACCAGCAGTCTGATTTCCTATAATTTCTAGTATTTAAATTAGTAGTGTCATGTTATATACTTTTACTTTTGGGGAGAAGTCCTTCAAAACATTAAGGACACCCAGTGGATGAAAGCATAGGAATGTGAGTAAGTAAATTTATTCACCACAGGTTGGAAAACCAGAAAGGCAGAATGGTCCAAAATGAAAGGACCTGTCTTTGGTCCTGACTCATCCCCCAGCTTCAGTCTTGATAGCTCAGGTCAGTGGATGGGATCTTCTGTGGAAGGAGGAAAGATTGTAAACCCAGGACTATTCAAGGAGTAGGTGCTTCTTGACCGGGAGGCAGAGCAAGTGCCTTTTGTATAAGTGACATGTGTGGGCTGCCCCAGAAAATCAGGGCAGGAATAGAGACAGTGTCCAAGGAAATTGAGTTGTAAAGATTTACATGGTGTATTGGAGAGTCCCTCCTGCTCAGAAATCTGAATGTGGTCAATTGAGAGAGAGAAGGTGAGACAACTTAGTAGTCAAAACAGTTTGGTAGCCAGCAATGGATTTTGCTTGTATGTAATATGTTTATTTTGGGAAGAGATGGATGTTAGAAAGTGGTAGGAGTAGAAATTTGCTGGCTTTCTGAAATATCCTTTCCTGTGTGCATTTTGGCCAAAGGGATTTGCCATCAATAGCCTCAGGTAAATCCTTGTTATGAACTCGTTGCCAGAAATTCTCAAGTTTTCTCTTCCTTTGTTTAGATTAGGGAAAGCATCAAGAATGAAAGCATGTAGTATCTTACTTGGTTAGCCAGTTTCCACCTTGGTCAGGTCAAAGTGAATTTTGTTGTGGAAACTGCCCACATTTGGTAGACTAAAATGGAAAAGTTACCAATCAGGAAATCTTAGGTCCAAGTGTACCATTCCTTAGCTCTGTGTGTGTGTGTGTGTGTGTGTGTGTGTAACTTTAGTAATGTAGTTTTATGAAGTACACAAATACACATATTTTAGCAAATAACTCTTGTTTCCACTCTCCAGTGCAAAAGGTGAAACATTCCCAACACTGTGGAAGCCTCTTGTATCCCCGCATCTCTCCTCAGATAACCCTGTAATATTTTAGGCAGGTCACTTTTACCTCTTCATTGTGATGTTAGGATCTATAATGGGATGGTGATAGCTGCTCTACTTTGCTCACAGGGTTGTGAGAATCGAATTAGTTGTGTCTGTGAAGGCACTTGGAAAATTTCAAGATGCTGAATGGAAGTCAGAGAGGACTCTGCTAAAGTTCTGGTTTAGTAGTGTCTTGTGCCAGTATGGGTAGACCCAGCTCAAGTGTTTGGTAAGCAATAAAGGAATGGAATTCTGTTGTCTATAAACTTTCCTTTACAGAGAATTATTCTTGAGGAAAAGTCAGTATATTAAATTCCTCAGAATCTCTCGGTATATGTTCATTCAGCAAGTATTTCCTGAGTACCTTCTATGTGCCAAGCACTTCTGCCAGGCAGTGGGGATCCTGCAATGAACACAACAGGGTTCATGCCCTGAAAACAGGTAGAAAATTATGTTTATCTTCTAACTTACATCATTTCTATCCTTGGATGCTTAAAACATGTCTTATTCTCATCCACATTGCTGTCCCTACCTCACCCACAATTGAGAATTGTTCATAAGGCAGTATTTCAATTGAGATTAGATAGATGTCTATTAAAGGTGTAAGCTATTTATTTTTCCACTAATTCACAGTCTTTAAGGAAGATGTTTTGGTGCCAGATGTTGTCAGCATTTGAGGTGGATTTTTTTTTTTTGTCCTTATTTTAGCCAGTTTTAGCTGAAACAGCTTTCTTCTACCCTGCAAGCTTTTAAACTTTTATCCCTTCCTTTGATTTGTGTCAGGGTGAACCGTTTGATGTAAAAGACTTGACTCCATAATCTTCCATCTGCCCTAATGCTGTCATCCGGAGTAGAGACTCAGCCAGTTCCACTTGATTCCTCCATGTCTGCCGTGGTACAGGAATTATACTCTGAACTCCCTGTGAGTGTCTCCAAAGAGCTTCATGCTGACCCTGAGCCAAGTGTGATTCCAGATGTAAAACCCGGAGCCTCAAGCTCTCTTATAAGTCAGAGTAGGGCAGTGCCCTTGGAGCTGCAGAGGACTCATGCGGAAAGTTGTTATGAAGAAACTTCTGGCACCTTGGATCATGGGGGTGAACCTGGGCGGTGTGGGCTGGTGGACTCCACAGCAGGAGGTTCTGTGGCTTCTGGGATCTTGGATAGGGAAGAGAAAACCAAGAGCATGGAGCTAAAGGTCTTCAGAGATCAAGGGGACCAGGCGGAAATTGTAAGAGACCCCTGTGAGGGAGCAAAGGAAGACCCACATCAGCATTCCACAGCTGCTGAAGAAAAGATCAGCTTAAGTCAGGTAAGATATGAGATCTCAATTCAGATGAGTGTGAATGACAGCTTTCCAGAGTAACACTTCACATGGTAAAGTACAGATGCTGACAGGTAGCTTATGATTTGCTCTTGAAATATTTCCAAAAAGTTGAGTTTGATGTTAACTTTCTTTTAATGATTTTTTAGAAACATTTGTGTCACATCAGACACTTGAATAGAGAAAGTGCTTATCTAATGAAAAAGTGTCACTTCTCTGAAGCAGCTACCGTATGTGGAATGTTGAGTCTTATGGTAGTCGTGATACTTCTGCATCTGGTTTTAAGAAATGATGGGTACTCATTCCTTGAGTTCTGGTAGCATCATAAATAGGATGGAGGGACATGTCACAGAAATCTCTCTGAGAAACTCTGTTGACCCAGGTCGGGCTTCATAGGATGGATACCCTAGAGCGATCTCCATATTTCCAGAGCCAGTCCTTAGCTTTGCAGGTCCAGACTTTTGTTTTTTAGTATATCAGAGATTATCATCTCCAGAGGACTGACCCATACTAACCCACTTCATGAGAGACTAAAGTATAAATCAGAAAGCCAGTTCTTTAATTCACAGTGAAAAGTGGAATCATAACTTGGTAGGAATGGTCACACTGGCTGGTCAGTATGTCTTCTTCCTGTAGGCAAGCCTACATGGGAAATCAAATCTCTCTTTGTAAGTGTGAAATTAGAGTAATAAGATTCAGGTAGGTAAAACTAATTATTAGTGAGCTGTGATAGCCTGAGGAACCCAGACTCCTAAAGGAATATACCTGCCAAGTACACTGGAAAACTTACTTTCTGTGGATGGTTCTTCAGACCAGGGTTCAACAAACTTTTTTCTGTACAGGGCCATGTAGTAAATATTTTAGACTTTGTAGGCCATAGGGTCTCTGTCAAAATTACTCAGCTGTGCCCTTGTAGCATGAAAGCAGGCATAGACAATACATGAATGAATGAGTGTGGCATATATCAGTAAACCTTTTTTATAAACACAGGTGCTGGCCCGTGGGGTATAGTTTGTCAGCCCCCACCCTAAATCCACAAATAAATTCATACTGCCTGGGCTTTCTGGGCTAAGATCCATTTCCCACCTTATAGATATGTCATTTGTTTACACAGGTTACAGGGCAAAATTGATTGTTAATAGTCTCCATACATTGACCATAGTTAGGAATAGCTTTAGATAGCAACAATTAAGTAATGTATCTGATTTTATGTTATGATAAGCTACCCTTAAAAATATAAGTGAGGTAACAGATTCAGGATCTGAAAGTTTCTTAACTTCTTGATATGGTGGGCTCAGTCTAACAAGATGAAATTTTTCTGTAATTTGGTGAAGTTTTCATGTAGTATTTGGTATAAAATAAAAGTACATATGCATAAATTATGAAGTACATAATGAATACAGTATATACACTCACATATATATGCCTCCCAACCTAAGATCTAGAAAATTATTGTCCCTTTCTCCCTCCCAGCTCCACCAGAGATAAATACTATTTTGAATTGTGTAAAGCAAAATTAAATTTAATAGATATAAATGTGAGACTTTTTTACTTCGTTCCAAAAACTGCATAAGTGGAAAAAAAGAGGAAAAAGCAGAAGTACTTTTGGAAAAACAAAAGACAAAACAAAAGACCTATAGGCTTTAGCCACTCAATTAGAATTGGCTTTGTGGGATAGCCATCAAGAAAAGCCAATTTGCTCTTAAATGTCCATGAACAGAAATGTGTTACCTGGACTGAGAACTAGCAGTTGTGGTTGTGTGTTGTGTGTTGGTTAGTCTCTAGTTAAAATATCACACTCACAGTCCCCTCTTCCCACCCCAGCACTCAGATGAGCTCAAGATGCCCCTGGAGTGGAAAGGACAGAGGGAAAGCAAGGAATTTGTCAGCGTTGGGGTCACTAGCCAAACTGGATCCTATCCTCTCCCCATGCTGAGCCTGGTGTCACATATATCATGTGTAGGAAGAGTATAGAAAACCAGAAACGCATTCATGATGAAGAGTTCACACTAATGACAAAACCTGAAAATACACCACTGAAGGCCAGTCACTTGGATGTGTCCTATGAAAAAAGAATCAAGAGAAGCCTTCAAGAATTTGCAAAGCTGTCAAGCAGAAATGGTTCTGTTGGGCACAGTTAGGGTCTGTAGAAGACAGTGGTAGCTCATTCTCGGGTCACAGGACCCTTTGAAAATCTGAATGAATGCTGCATATCTTTCATAAAAGTAGACTACTGTTTCAGAAGGTTTGCAGAGCCCAGACATCTTTGACATCAAGATAAGAATTCTTGCTAGATTGGCAAAACACCACAAACAGACAAAACACAACTGATGAATTAGGAAAACATTTTGCAGTATATATCACAGATAAGGATTTATCGCTCTCATATATATAGAACTCTCTCTTTTTTAAAAAAATTTTATATGAGAGAGTGCACAAGCAAGAGGCGGGGCAGAAGGAGAAGAATATGCAGGCTCCCTGCTGAGCAGGGATCCCATAGCAGGGCTCCATCCCAGGGCCCTAGGATCATGACCTGAGCCAAAGGCAGATGCTTGACTGACTGAGCCACCCGGGCATCCCATAAAGAACTCTCTCTTTTTTTTTTAAAGATTTTTTTTAAGATTTTATTTATTTGACAGACAGAAATCACAAGCAGGCAGAGAGAGTAGGAAGCAGGCTCCCCACTGAGCAGAGAGCCTGAGGTGGGGCTCGATCCTAGGACCCCGAGATCATGACCTGAGCCGAAGGCAGAGGCTTTAACCCACTGAGCCACCCAGGCGCCCCTTAAAGATTTTTTTAAGTTGAGGTTCAATCAAGAGTCATGCTCTACTGACCAAGCCAACCAGGCACCCCACTAATATATAAAGAACTCTTAGATTGAGGAATAGAAAACACAATAGAGAAATGAAGGAAAGACTTGAATAGATGATTAGTATGTGTGCGTATGTGTGTGTTCTTAAACACATGAAGAGATGGTCAACCTCAGTTATAATTAGAGAAGTGTAATTTTAAATGGTTGAAATACCACTTTTTTACCTGTAAGACTGGAGAAAATGAAAAATTATGGCGACACATCTGGTTGGCAAGGCGGTGAGAAAGTGTTCTCACCCGTTGCTGGTGGGAATGCATACTGATACAACCTTTCAGAAAAGGCATTTGGCTGCACCTAACTAGAAAGCACATACTCTGACCTGTTGACCTAGCACTCTCATTTCTAGGAATTTATCCTGAATATACACTCCCAAATTATGGAAATACATATATGTATAGTTACTATTTGCAGCATTGCAAAATGTTAGAAGCAACCTAAATGTCCACATATAGGAGAAAGTTTGACTAAACCATAGTATGTATATGGTACATTTATACATGGAGCACTATGCACCTGTAATAAAGAGTCAAGGAGGATCTCTTTGTACTGAAGTACCGTGGCTCCCCAAGACCACCTCCAGGTTTCAGTATTCACTGGAACTCACAGGACTCAGTACATGGTCATATTTGTAGCTAAGTTTAATTATAACAAAGAATATAAGCCAATCAGCAAAGGAGGGGGAAGCATGGTACAAAGTCCAGAAGATATCAGGTGGTAGCTTCCAAGAGTCCTCTCCCACTGTAGTCACACACACACAAACAGATATACACAGCCTTCTCCAGGAACAAACTGTGACAACACATGTGTAATGTCTACCATGGAAACTTTTTAGAACCCAGGGTTTTTACTGGAGCTGGTCATGTGGCCATCCTCTGGCTGGCACATACCAAAATTCCATACTTCCAGAAGGAAAGCAGGTGTTCAGCATAAAATCCATTGTCATATGGGTGCACAGAGCCACTCTTCCCACTAGGGAATGTTGGAATCTCTCCCAAAATATAAGTTCCCAGATGAGCCAAGGCCACCCTTGCAAGCAGGCCTTTCTAAGGATAACAGGCCTGCTATGTTAACTCTCTTCTGCAAACTAGGATATACTGGTTAATGAAAAAGAGCAAAGGGCAAGTAAATAATTGTATCCTCACTTTCATTCAAGAAATAAGGGGAGGTGAGTATGTACAGGTATCTACTGGTTTGTATAAAACACACACATGTACATGTAGGAAGAATAAAGCAGAAATGAATGGATTTGGCTACTTATAAGAAGCCAGTGGGAGCAGGGTAGAGAGTGTAGGAATAAGATAGAAGGAACAAGAGGAAGTGACACTTCTCTGAGTACATCTTTTTGTATAGTTTTGAGTCTGTTCTTGAAAAATAACTAATTAGACAACCTGGGTGTGAGGGGAACCCAGAATTGAATAAAAATTCTTAACAAATAACTCTTAACTATATTACAAATGAATAATGAAACTACATTAAGGGAGGGGGGATGAAAAAGAAAAGTAACCCCAGTACCTTTGGGAAACAGTATTTTAACTGTACTTTTAAATCTAAATCCAATAAGGCCAAACTTTTTTTTTTTTTTTTTAAGAGTGAGAGAACAAGCAGACAGGCATGTGGGGAGGGCGGGCAGAGCTAGAGGGAGAGAGAATCTCTAAGCAGACTTCATGCCCAGCACAGAGCCCAATGTGGGGCTCAATCTCCTGACGTGAGATCATGACCTGAGACAAAATCAAGAGTCGGACACTTAGCCAACTGAGCCACCCAGTTGCCCTAATTTTAGTAATTTGTTTTTCATAGGGGGTGAGGCTTAGCAATTCCTGAACTTCTATAGTTATGTTCTGGGATTGAACAAATAGGTAAATATTGTGAATAATGAGAGTGAACCAGGTTTCTCACTAACAAAATGAAATTATAGATGGGGGTGGGTTGAGGGCTAGAATGAATCCTATGGTGTGAAACTAGAATTGGAGCTATCAGTATGAACTTCCAGTTTTTAATATAGATAGATAGATAGATAGATAGAGAAAAGTACTTATATATATTTTGATATGTGAGATAGGATCTAGATCTGGTGACACCTCATAGCAGTGAGCACCCAGTTCTTGGTTCCTAAGTA